CAGTTAGAATTTCAGACTTTCAGCTATTTTTGGTGAACTGTACTTGTAAAGTAAATCTTTGCCTTTTAAAGTACGTGGTCTAAGAGATTTAGTTATTAAGAATGGTTTCAACATCCTATATCCTTGCTTTATGCTCATTTGCGATGGAAGTACGGCTAGGCATTTTTTCCAATACATCCTTTGATCTTGATATTATAAAACGCTTTTCTTTTTATAAACCCGAATAGCCATCCTTTGCTAGCTGAAATTTTTTTACCAGCTTGGGAAGTGGAAGTTGGTGGCTCTGACTATTTCATTAACACACACAACTGAAGAGCTTTTTCCTGGATTAAATAACCACTTACAGGAACTCTTCTTTGAATTAGTTCCCCAATTCAAATTGATATGGCTCTTTCTAATAATGCATCCCTTGAGTAAGATGAAAATTTGGCGCTTAATTTTGTAACAGAAATTATAGATTTTCTGACAGCAACTTCATTCTTAATTGCTCTTACAGTTGATTTGCCTAAATTAAGGGGACAGTCTCATGCGAAACTTTCAAAAAATCAATTTTATTTTTTTTATATATAAATCGCTTCCATATACATTCAAAAACTCCCTCCTAAAATTTTAAAAAGAAATTCCCACTAGAATATAAGTTATAGTTATTTTATTAACGTCATCTACGCACGTATGAAAACCGGTTTCTCTCCGCGCGGCGAGCGCGAGGCTCCAGCTGTTCTTGCTTTTGTATATATGTTGTATATACGTTGGGTATGTATTAGTGATTAAATTTTATATAGTATGTATATCTGTATAACGTTTGGCGTTTACTATACACATTTGGATTTGGAATTTTAAATCCGGAACATAGGATTTTTTTACAAATACTAAGATTCTCTGCGTTGCAATTAACCAGTGTAAATTTATTTGTTCCACTGGATTACTTCTCCTTAGCGGTTTATAGTAGCGTATATGGCACGCCGATAGTAGCCTATATGGCACGCCGACAGTGTTGCTCCGTCTACCGATTTTTCCTGAAAGTCCGGTTTTGTGCAGATAATAAATAATGTTTTATTAACATCAATTTTGTTTGTGTTCATTAGGTATTATTTGAGCTATAAAATTTATACTTAAATACATTTATTATTCCAAATATTGTTTATAATTTCAAATTAAAAAGAGTAATATAATTATTTTATTTTTAAAATTCCTTTTTATTTTTTATTTTAGAAATCAACTTTTTTTTCAAGCCGTTTTGGCAATAAAACATAACCATTTTTTTAGTTATAAAATATTTTCATATCTACATTTATAAATAAGTACGTTTTCGTTCAATTGACATGCGATCTGGGTGTGTTCCGTTTTTACACTTACACTGGCAGCATCGCGGCGTGAATTGAGACTCCAGTCGAACATGAACAAATGAATTAATTATAAAACATCGCGACGTTGTATTGAAATTTACAGCTTTACAAAGCCATTTACAACAACTGTTGGATGAAGAGGGTCCTCAATATTCACCAGGAATGGCCGATTAAACGTGAGTATAAAGTTATCAGCCTTTTATTCACGAAAATTATGTAAAAAATTTTTAAATACTTTTTTCTCAAAAGTAACATTTTCAAACTGGTCAGACACTTTTCTCCGAACCTTCTTAACCGATTTTAAAAAACCAAAAATTTTTCGAATGTACATACAAAATACTAGATGATAAACCTTTAAAATATTTAAAAACCACCCCCTCTTTTATTATATATGGGTAAATCCACCGAAAAATATAGCGATTTTTCGACTTTTTTGAAAAAATTCGTATAAACTCTTCAAAATAATACAATTTGCATATTTTAAAGGTTTATCATCTAGTTTTGAGTCTCACGAATACAACCCACTTTGAATTTTTTGAATATCTGTTACAGGTGACCCACAAAGTGTCTTACCACCAAAAACGCACTTTTTACTACACGCCATCTACAGGACACCAATGAAGTTAAAATCGCTATTAAATTTTTTTTATGTACTTCAAGACTTACTTAATCATCTCCAAAACGAATTATGTTAATAAATATTATAGTTTTTTTTCTGTTTTAATTTTAAAATGTGTCTTTTTTTTTAATCGCATGAGACTGTCCCCTTAAAATGTTTTCCAATTGCCGTAGATCCTTCTCCTTTTCCTAAGCGATCTAAAATTGAGAACATAAAAAGAGACCTTACTGTGTATAGCATGTCATACATAATTTAAAAGTCTTGTGTCACTCAGTATTTTCTGAGATGTTTATGAGTCTGTCGAGCAGTTTCAAAATGACACTAGTTAGATGTTCAATGGTGATAGTGCAAAAAATAAAGACAGCTCTATTCATGGTTGTGCCTGGATCTCCATACTCTGTTTTTGTAAAAAAGGTCCAAATATTATCCATCCATAACATACTACTGGTCTGATAATAGTTATGTAGACTCTGATTTTCATCTCCAGTGTGTATTTTTGGAGCGGAACACAATCCGTGCTTAAGACAACTCCCAGATATGTAAAACTTTCTAGTTTCAATATCGTCCCCTAACTCACTGTGCGTCTGTTTCCCCTACCTCTTGTCTCTGTTAGCTTTTTGGTATTTTGAATATTTAGTTCTAGTCCGGTATCTTCTGCCCGTGTTTTTAATTGTGAATATTTTTCTGCAGCCTCTTCTGTTTTGCGAGAAATTGCTAATGCCATCGGCATAGGCGGCAATCTGTATTGATCTATTTATTAGGAGATTATCTCTTCCAATAATCAGCTATCTTATCACATATGCGAGAGTCAGGTTGAAAAGTGCCAGTGCCAGCAAATCTCCTTGCTTTAAACCTTTGACTACTGAAAAGTTCTCCGTGAGCTTATTTTGTACTCTGGCACTTGTTGTTGACAAGTCGGATGTACTTTTGAGGGATGTTAATGCTGCGCAATATTTGATATAATTTTTGTCTATTAATTAAGTCGTCGGCCTGTTTGAAATCTATGAATATGTTATGGACGTCAATGTCGTATTCCCACGATTTGTTTAGAATTTTTTTGACTGTGAACAGAACAATTGTGTCTCGTGGTTTTTAAGTCACGAAATCAAATCATTTTCAAAATGTGAACTTTCTATAACTCTTATATGTTTCTAGGAGATGCCATATATGTCATTTAAAAAAAATCGATAACTCCATAATTTTGACAGACGTCAAATGAATTATATCAGATTATGCGAAACTAGGAAATGAATTGGCGTTTTGGAGCGTTTTCCATAAAAGCTACGCCATTTTTAGGGCTAATATATAGGTTTTTTTTACGATGTCATTATTAAATATTAAGCGAAACGGCGAAACATAATTGGACAAAAAACTACGAATAAGCTAACAAAAGAGATTCTAAATGATGTATCATTTCGTATATAATTGTATTTAACAAAATGGCGCCAATTCGACACGATCTCGTGTCCTTGTTCAATAATCCAAACAATTGTTAATTGAAGTCTTATGGTCCAGGAGATAATCGGGGATGAAGAACTAGGACAATCTTTTAGTTCTACCAATCACGCTGCCGATATAAGTAACTTAAACCTAATAATATCAAATCTGCTAAATTTTACACCAATTTAAGTCTAGCGTCATAAAAACCTCATAAAAATCTTCATATATCAATTCAAGTTTTTCAAAATTTTCAGTCTTCTAGCACTTTTTTATTTTTCTCCACGTAAACAAGTATAACTAATGTACAATTTCCGCGGAAGAGGGCCAATAATAAAGGCTATTTACCCAAAAAATGCAGTTGAGTCACAGTTGAAAAATAGGCAATGTTGCCGGATTGCTTACGCGATTTTCTTGTCGCAAATATTTGCTTTATGCTTAAATGTAAAAAATGAATTTGACAGTTGACAAGTTGTGTCAAAATTAAAAAAAAACATGAATACTTATCTGTTTTTATTTAGCTCGGTTGGCTATTCTCAGTCCGAACTGTCTAGTGAATTTAGTAATTATTTTTTTTGCGAAGTTACTTTTTGACAGACTAAAAGTGGCTGGAAATTACTATAAAACCAAGCACACGTACTCATAGCCAATATTAATAGCAAACAAACTAAATAGTAAATAAAATAGAACTTTGCGAATTGCCGACAATTAATATTTATTTATCTGCACCATATAATAAATAGTTATGTTAAATTATAACAACTAAAATATATTTTTTAAATATATACCACCCAAAATTTGATGGGTTTAGTATACACTTCCACTATTTAGAATAATTCTTCTTTTTTCACGGAAAGAAGTCTGTAATAGTAGTATAGTTGAACTATTAATAATGAGAAGTAGGAATTGTTGTGTTGTATGTTTCCGAGAAGGAATCTGTCAAAATATGCCCGAGCTAAGGGAATGGAGTATAACTGTCAAATTATAATTAGAAGTTTGATAATTAAAGGATTTTTTATAGAAATGTAAACGTATCAAGGGGAATTTTAAAGAAACGCTATTTAAAATTTGGACTAAACATGTAGTCTTTTCTAAAAGCTATACGAACAATTTTATTTTTGTACAATGAGCAATCGCATCATCAAAATGTATTCCACTATAAATAAAATTCATGAAAATTTTAGAAATCACATGTTAGCGCATATTTATGTCAAAAATTACATAACTGCATTTTCAAAGTAAATACCCCGTATTTCCTAAATTTCCAGATAATGACTTCCAAAGTTACCGTTTATGAAGAAAGATTTCATAAATTTATTAATTCAAAAACAATTCGATAGGTGCCGCTGGCCAACAACTATAACATAACCTCTATTCAGATTTTTTTATTAATTCTTAATTGGTGACGTTTCGTATTTAGCAAATTAAACGTTTGAGTAAATTTCAAGTATTAGCAGAACAAAAAAACCTTTCAACGAGCTTTTCTTAGAAGTCACATCTGATTATCTTGACAGATTTACATATATTCTATAATTAATTATCTTTTAAATATGCTATAAACAAATATTTTACAACAAACACAGTACTCAAAATTGTTTGGCTTAATTCTTACTAAATTTGAATATAATCAGCTGATTTATTGACATAAAAAAATTACGATAGTTCAAAACCAGTATTGCAGGTCACTGCATATCTCAGTTTTTCTCTCAGGGTGCTCTTCTTTTGATAGTTAGGCAACTTTAAGAGATTAAAACAGGTGGATGAAGTCGGTAGACGGTTTTGTGGATCCTTTTTCCTTATCGTGAAAAATCCTCTAAATACGCTACCTAAAATGAAACATTTGTTACTGTGTAAGATGATTTTTTAAAGTAAATGTAGCATAAACATACATACGAATGCGTAAATAGCTACAAAGGAGAAATATAGTAACTGAAAGTCAAATTGTTCAAATTCATCATTTAATGATAGACATACAAAACAATCTCATGTGTTTTGGAACAGGAGAGCCCCTCTTTGCAACGCAAGTATTGGTTCAGAAATACCTTCCTCAGCAAAAAGGTGTTTACGCTTGTTCTATCGACCATGAGAAAGCATTTGACACTATATAAGCATTTGAACTATAAGATCTTTCAGGACTTGACACTAAGATTATCCACATTATTAAAAATCTGTATTGGAATCACACAGTCTATATCAAGTATCTATCTATCTAATCAGCCTTAAACGGCCACTCTTGGGCATAGGCTTCCCCTGTTAATCTCCATTGGTCTCTGTTTTGATATCAGGTATAGATTAGAATAATACGATCAAACAATTACAGTAACTCCTGTAAGTTCGGCCACCTCGGGATCGGACCTTAGGCCGAAATAACCAACGCTTATCTAAAAAATGCCCATTTATTGTTTGTATGGATCTAGCAAAAACAAAACACTCGTACATTAAGTAGAAGACGACACAGACTGACATATATTTAACACATATGAAAAGATAGACCGTTACAAAAATACTATAAAACAATACTTACAGAACTCTAGGCCTAATAAAATTTAAAAAATATTGCACATTGGTGGATTGGTTTCTTAAACACTTAAAAAAAGTCAGTAATCTATTTCTGAATTTTCTTTTCTAATGATTTTTGATGTGCAAAGTCACGCTACTTTTTAATAATCAGTACATCGATGGCAGTTGCTTCTTTTTGCTGTTCGACGTAGGAGCTGCCAGTTGCTAAGCTTCTTTTATTTTCTTCATCTTTCTCTTCATTCTCAGCAGCATCTGTGTCGTTATTCTTCTCATTTTCTTGGCGAATGACATACTCGGCGATTTCGTCGTCGTTCAAAACCTCGTTGTGCAGCTCCTTTTCAAAGTTGATCCACTCGAAAACATCTTCTTTAACAATGGGACCACAGTTCGGTAGTTGCTGAAGATCGTACAATAGAGCTGCATCATCAACAGGTTCGTTAACAAGAACGTTGTTGGCTCATCTGCTGATGTGTTTGCTTGGTCAATCTTATCTTCTATATTTGGCCAAAGTTTTTTCAAGACTTTACAAACATCGACAAACAACACAACATCCTTCATATTAACTGATTTCAGCACTTTTAAGAGGTGTCGACACTTCTTCTTTAAGTGTCGTCTCCCAATCGGAGATTGGATATCATCATCACTACCTTTACTTTATCTACCATGACACTCTCCTTCTTCCTATACCCCTTCCTCCTCTTGTCTTTCCCTGTATTATCAGCCTTAGTAGTTCATATCGCTGTCATTACGTGTCCCAGATATTGTAACTTTCTTATTTTTATTGTGTTTATTATTTCGCATTCTTTGCCCATTTCTCGCAATACTTCTGTGTTAGTTTTATTCTGTGTCCATGCTATTCTGAGCATCCTCCTGTAACACCACATTTGAAATAAGTGTAACTTATTAATGTATTCTTGCTTCAATGTGCAGCTTTCAAGTGCATATTGCAGTATCGAAAACACGTAGCATCTCAGTGCTCTTACTCTCAGTTCTAATCTAAGATCTTTGTTACAGAGAATTGTTTTCATTTTTACAAACGCATTTCTTGCTATTTCTATCCTAGCTCTTATTTCGGTTGTTTGATCATTATTGTCTGAAATCCTGGTTCCTAGGTATTTGTATTTATCATTGGCTGTTTAAGACTATGTATATTGGGTGGCAGAAACAGCAGTTTAATTTCTTTTTCAGAAACACACTTAAGATCTTCCTGGTCAGTAGGCGCGTTGTCAAGCTGTAGAAGTACTTTGATGGGCAGATTTAATTTTGTCAAATGGTTTTTCACTTTCGGAACAAATTCGCACATAATCCATTCCCTGAACAAATATGTGTACATCCATGCTGATTTTTGCGACCGGTAATACACTGGTAGAGTTTCTATGTTTATGTTCTTAAACGCTTTCGGTTTTGCTACTGTGCCAATGACAAATAGGGGTATCTTGTGGGTCCCTGAGGCATTTGAACACAAGCGACCGTTATCCTCTCGTTGCTTTTAAATCCTGCCGCAGATGTTTCTTGCGGGGTGGTAAAGGTTTTTCTGGGCAGAAGTCTAAAATTTAACCCAATTTCGTCAATTTTGTAGATTTACTCTGGACTCAAGTTTTGGTCAGCAATGTTTTTTAAAAAGTTTGAAGAAAAATTTTTGGCCGATGTTGTTTCTGCTGACAGCTTCTCGCTACAAACTCCAATAAAATGGACCCCGTGTCTCTTTTACCATCGGGAGAGCCATCCTTCACCAAGAACGCCTCTTCTGGTTAAAGCTTTGAGTGCAAGATCATAGCCTTCTCTTTTAGGATTGGTACACTTAACAGGGTTCCTCGTCATCGTTCTTGAATGAACCACAACCACCGAGCATCTTCTACCAATTCGTGTTTTGCCTTTCTCAGTGTGCAACGCTTTTGTAGAATGTTTTCAGTTTCAATCTGTGTACAAAAGCCTTCGATAGATTTTCTACTGCGCCGCCAGTCGTTGATTGTATAGCTAATGGACTTTAACAAGAGCTATGACCTTATAAATAACAGATAAACTTGTGTACTGCATCGGCATGACTCATAGCTCTTGTCCAAATGCATTACCTCTACTTTTGCCCACGTTTAAATCTCTGCAAATACTTTGCACGGATTCTCCTTTGTCCAATCTTTCCAGAGCATGTAGTCTCTGTTCCATTGACTTGTATTTACGTTTAAGCGTTTCTCATTTTAAAGTAGTTTAATGCACGACGCAAAACAGTTATTGTCCACACACACAACAAGTATACTTTTATATAAAGAGTAAAAATTGCACGTGAAACAAGAATCACCGACTGTAAGCCTACCGTAAAGATAAGCACTTTACCTGCTCGCGTCTTGCTGCCGCTCGCCAAGTGTGTGACTAATGTGCGTGGCTTCTGAAACACATGAATGCATTGCTGGAAGCACAAACCTTTCCTGAGCCTTGGAGGACATCGAGGTTAATACTGCTTCCCAAAGCTAGGGAAAAGTATCGCCCCATCTGTCTTCTTCCATGCATCAGTAAGCTATATGAAAGGATGCTGCGAGTACGCATAGACGACATGATTGAGAGGTCAGGTGGTTTATCTCGGAGGCAATTTGGTTTTTGTAAAGGGAAAAGCACGATTGATGCAATCATGAATGTACTCGAAACATTGCACAACAGAGGGAATGAACATCGCTGGGCGGCCCTGCTGTTGTTTGATGTTAAGAATGCATTCAATACGCTGCAGTGGAACGAGGTAATGAAGGCAATGGAGGAGAGAGAATGTCCTGGTTACCTGATGAATGTTATGGCGGAGTATCTGTCCGAAAGAAGGATTATGGTGGAAAAGGGCACGATCGTGGACGTGACGGCCGGGGTACCCCAGGGATCTGTCTTGGGCCCGACGCTGTGGAATCTGGCATATGACGGGGTTATGCACTGTGAATACGGAGAGGGTACAACCCACTTCGCATTCGCGGATGACCTCGCTGTACTGGTAGTAGCCCGGGATGAGCCAGATCTCAAATACCGGGTTCGGAACGCAGGTGGCGTCGTAAAGAGATGGATGACGCAGCACGGACTAAAACTTGCGACAGAGAAAACCGAAGCCATTATTCTGAAGGGGACAAGGAACAGGCAAGGTGTTGAATTAAAATGTGCGGGAGTATGTCTAACACCCAAGAAACAAGTAAAGTATCTAGGAGTGACATTACACCAGAATGGAAAATGGGGAAACACGTTCGGGAGGTGGTCCGAAAGGCTGCGAATAGTGCGGCTGCGTTGGGGAGAGTGATGCCGAACATTTTTAGGACCCAAATCCGAAAGGAGGAGGGCCTTACACGGTGTTGTACAGTCTATCGTTCTCTACGCAGCACCAGTCTGGAGTTAGGCGAGATAACGGCCTATAGGAGTCTTATGAAACGAGTAGACAGAACAAGTCTGTTGCGAGTGGCATGCGCCTACGGGACTGTGTCTGCGGCAGCCTTATGGACCATCACTGGATGTGTTCCGTTGCATGTTTTGGCGGTGGAAAGAAAAGAGCTTTATGAGAGAAGAGGCCCAAACCTTACTGTGGCTGAGAGAAGACAGGTAAGGGAAAGGTCAGTTGAAAGATGGCAAGAAGAATGGAACAATACGGAGGATGTGGCACAGTGGACGAAAATGCTGATCCCTAACATAAGAGTTTGGGTGGACTGTGACCACAGGCGATTGGATTATTTCTTGACGCAGGTGCTCACAGGACACGGGTGTTTTAGGGCCTACCTTTATAGGATCGGTAAGGCTGATACAGATGAATGCCTATATTGTGGATACTCGGACACTGTGACACATACGATGTTAGATTGCAGCAGATGGATAGTGGAAAGGAACAGAATGGAGAGAGAGACAGGTGTGAATTTTGTTACAGTGAGAGAAATGATTGAGAAAATGATTGAAAATAAATTAGGTTGGATTAACATACACAGTTATATCCGTGCAGTGATCAAAAAAAAGGAAGAGGAAGAAAGACAGCTGGACCAACGGCAAAGGTAGAGTGAATGATGCTGAAAGATGAAGTTAGAACAGTGGGTCACACTTTTTGAGTTAGAATGCGTGAGTTTGACTGTGGGGAAGGAGGAAATGCCCTTCTGAGAATGATGCCGAACTAGGAGTGTGGATGTGTATGAATGGAGAATGAATGAATAAAGGTAGTGCTTCCGAAGTGATGCCGGCCTTACAGCGGCCATTCCGCTTCTGGATCGCTGGATGACAGAGGAGGGTGTGGTTTAGCAGGTAGGCGTTCGGCGTAGACTCGGCGACGAGAGGGCATTTTTAAGTACCTCGGGAACTATCGCCGGGAGTACGAAGAACGAATCCTGCACTAAGGTCAGTCAGGCGGCGTCCTGGACTGAGATGTCTTTTAAAGATTCCAGACCCCCTCTATAAAGACAAAAAAAAAAAGTGTGTGATGCTCAGAGAGCTGGCCGGACTAAGCGGAGACTGAACTAATCGAGGCCGAAATTACGGGAATCTACTTTAATAGTTCTATTTTCAAATCAAATCTAATTTCATACTGTTTTCAAATTTACTATCTTACCTATCGTATCTCCAGTATCTTCGTCGTCACCAACTTCGACACATCTTATCGAAAAAGGCGGTTCAAGATGTGCGAATCCAAGAAGTGGGGGCTTGGAACAACTAGTTACAAACTAAAGAACAAACATGTGATTAATCTTCATGATTAAAAAAATTAGTACAATAATACGAGTAGAAAAGAACAAATTATTTAACTTAAAGTAAATCTGGACAAGATTACCTTAAGAAACATAGTTTTCTCTTCTTCGTTAAAGTCTTTTTCTAAAATATCCCACAACCAGCCGATTACTCGATGTGAATCATGAAATCCTCCGTAATACTGACAATTTTTCCTCAGGTCCTTAAGGTCTAAGGGAACATTATCACCAGAAATTAAACGTTGTAGCTAAAAGAAAATTAATATTTTTAAATAAAAGTTTACACAGCATTTAATATGTGAGATTGACAGCAAAAACTCCATTAATCAGTCGATGAAGAAAAATGAGTTAGTGCTGCTATCTCTTGAATTTAAAAAGTATCAACATCTGCATATTGCCGATTTCTTCAAAACCCCATATGTCAGACTGTAGAAGCCGTTCAATACCACTAGATTCCGCAACAAGCCCACAAGTCAAAGCGTTTCTAACAAGAATCCCACTAGTCAAGTTTAGTTCATGAAATTGCCATGATCTCGGTGATCTGACAACGTGATAACTAATCACACAGTTAGTTTATTTGTTTGATATCGTTGTTTGTGGAATTGGTTTATGCAATTAGTTTTATTTGTTTGTTTTTATGATTCTATTATGGATACGAATTAATGGCCAGGAAAAAACGAAAAATAAAACGTTTTCTATACACAGAACCTTCTTCTTCCCATTTTTGTTCAAAATTGTTGTTCAAAAATATATTTCAGCTTGCACAACACAACAAAAAGGTATAAAAATAAATAGTATTCCTATTGTAAATCGGATTAGATAAATTAGTGCCCCACGTTGGGTGCCATTTGTGCCATTTAAAAGAGATTTATTTAAACAACTAGATGACAGATTAAAAACAATAAATAAAATCTGCTATTCACTAGAGCTCTTGTATAGTAGAAACAGAAAATTTTGTCCTTTCTAGTTGACCTGGTATAGATTTTGTGCTAATAGGTGAAATGGAGAGCTTCAGAGCTTGTTTTATCTAAAAGTTACAGTATGGCGCGGCTTCTGTTAATGTACTCCTTAGTGTTTCGTATATTGTTGACTATCACATTTTAAATTGCGGCTATCCAAATCATATTGGAAGGTAAAGTACAAGGCAAAAGATCAAGTTTGAAGAATTCAGAACTTGAGGCTGAAAAACCTGAGGAGATGGTTTAACCGCTCATCCGCAGAAATTCTTCGTGCAGCAGTTTCCAAAGCTAGAACCGCCAACCTATAAGAAGAAGTATATGCGAAATCTATGTATCGCTCGTTATTTAGTGGTGAGCGTGGAAACCCATTATCCCATAATCATAAAACCCTTAACGAATCGTGTGATCCGATCGCGAATCTGAATCTAAGGAGAAAGAGTTGGAAATCCTGTATAATCCAAAAGTACCCGATCTATTTCAATCGCAAAGAAAAGGATCAATATGTAAACCAAAGATGAATATCAGCGCAACTAAATACAAACCCTTTCCACAGACTCAACGATGATTTCAATACAGATCCCGGGGTACATAAGACTACAAATAGTGCAAATATTCGAAGAACATCATCAGTGAGCTACGCTCTTTGATTCACAGTTTTTCGTCGCAGCTGCAGACGAAACTTCAAAAAGAAATAAATGTAAACCATGGAATACAGAAACTGAAATCAACGTACCTAATTTGAGTTGTAGTTTAATTAAAACTTAATAAATTTAAATTGTTGTACATGCCACGTCAGTTTAGAAAGTATTTTTTTATCGGTTTACCAAATTATGATGTATTTTTGTCATTAAATATCATCTATCTTTGTTTATATTTATTTGTGATGCCGATTTTTTATAATTGCAAAATGATAAGGTCATTTCTAATATTTTACTTAATTTATACAGAAATTGCAATCAAAAAATATACTGACATACTATTGTACAATATAAAAACCTCTTTGTTGTAGATTTTAGGGATTATAAGGAACAAACAACTTACCTCAGGTGTTGAAAACAACGTTAACCAGTCTGGATTGATAATCGATCGAAATCCTTTGATAAATGCTGCAGTTTGATCTTTGATTTGAAGATGCATTCGAAAATGGGCCATCAAATGAATATAATTGATTCTAAAAATAAGAGATGTGGTTATTTATGTATTATTTATCTGTATCAGTCGGCCCACCTATGGAATTTGCAGTTTAAGTCGATTACCATGAACAAATTATACTCTGCATGTTTTTATCCCATATTAATTAATATGGCATTTTTATTAATATTTATTAAAAACATTACCCTTATGGTCTTTTATTTATTATCAACTTTAAAAAAAATCTGTCAACTTATGTTAATTTTTTTATAATTTCATTAAATTCAGAGGTAGCTATGGAAAAATAACATCAAAACAATAATATTGTCAGTTAATGTCAAATGTATTTTGTAGTATTGTAAACCTTTTTGCCGTTTGTGGATTGTACGATGGATCGAGGTAAAGTTATCGATGAAAAAATTAGTTCAATCATTATTACAACTTTTATTTTTGTTCTCTAAAATTAAATTTTCTTATCAATCTAACGTTGGGCCAACTGATATGGGAAGGGGCTCGTAAATGCGTACTCGTACACGCGTACTGCGTAGTAACGTAAAGTAGTACCGCGTAAAGCAAATACTGTATAGCTTTTAAATGATGTATCTCATGCCATCTATGATAATTTTAATATTAATGTACTTACTTATTTTCATTGGTAACTTGTAGGGCCTTTCCCCCCGGTACCAACTCATGCGTAACAATTTTTCCCATACTGTCCTCGTCAACGCTGAAGGTCAAATCAATTTCGGATACGTCACCCTTGTAATGTTTGACGTAATTTAAACTCCTGTACAGTTCTGGATCTAACGATGGTAACTCATCAACACAACTATACAACAGTTGCGTAGTCTGTCCTGATATTTGGCTTAAGAAAAATGAGGCAAAAGGAACGTCAACTACAATGCCTTCGTAGACGGCCTTACCTTAAAATAAGAAAAACACTAATTAATCGCTTTAACAAAGAAGGTATACTGTGATTTATGACATTCATCATCAATCAGCCAATCGCGTCCACTGCTGGACATAGGCCTCCCTCAATTCTTTCCAGTGTTCTCTACACTGGGCCGCTTGTAGCCAGTTTCCCGCTACACGTTTAATGTCATCGGTCCATCTAGTCGGTGGTCGTCCTCGGCTTCTTTTATAATTTCTGGGCCTCCATTCCATAATACGTCTTGTCCACCGTCCATCTTGTGTTCTGGCTAAGTGCCCTGCCCAGTTCCACTTAAGCGTCGTGGTTCTTTCGATGACGTCTTGAACTCCTGATCTTCGTCTGATTTGTTGTTTGTTATGTGGTCTCGAAGGCTCACGTTCAGCATTGCACGTTCCATGGCTCGTTGTGTAACTCTAAGGCAGATTTTTGCGTGAGTGTTAAAGTCTCTGCTCCATAAGTTTGTACAGGTAAAACACATTGGTTATAAACCTTTCGCTTGAGACACATGGGAATTGAACTTTTTAGAATATGGCTTAATTTGCCAAATGCTGCCCATGTTAGACCTATTCGCCTCTGTATTTCATGTGTTCGATTGTCTCTGCTTATTTTGATTTCGTGTTCCAGATATTTGTAAGTGTCTGTTTGTTGTATGGTATTATTGTCAATAGTTATATTTCCACTCATTACGAGATTTGTTATAATTTTAGTTTTCTCAAAGTTTATCTTTAATCCTGCTCTTTCAGACAGACTTTTAAGCGAATGCATCATAGTAACTGTATCATGTAAGTTATCTGCGATTAATACAACATCATCTGCAAACCTTAGGTGATTTAATCTTTCTCCATCTATATTGATGCCCATATCTTGCCATTGAGTACCCTTAAATATTGACTCTAGAGCTGCCGTGAACAATTTTGGTGAAATATTGTCTCCTTGTCTAACTCCTCGTCCTAAGCTGAATTTTTCTGTGTCTTCGTGCAGCCGTATACTTGATGTAGCGTTCTGATAGATGTTTTTGATTAGTGTCGTGTACCTGTAATCTATTCGGCTTTGATTTAGGGCTTCCAGTATTGTTTCAAACTCTACAGAATCAAAAGCCTTCTCGTAATCGACAAATGCAAGAACCAGTGGTATGTTGTACTCGATGCACTTTTCTATTAAGATCTTTATGGTATGCAAATGGTCATTTGTGCCATATCCTGCCCTGAAGCCTGCCTGTTCTTTGGGCTGATAGAAATCAAGTTTAGGTGTTAGCCTCTTTGTTAAGATTTTCATAAAGAGTTTGTACATATGTGTCAAGAGGCTGATGGGTCTATAATTTTCTAATTTAGTAATATCGCCTTTTTTGTGTAACAAGACTATTACTGCATTGTTCCAGTCTTTTGGAATTGTACCCGCATGTAAGCATTTAGTAAAAAGTTCGCTTACTGATTTTAATAAAATTTCTCCACCTGCTTTTATTGCCTCGATAACGAGTCCATCATCACCAGGCGATCGATGGTTCTTCATTTCCTTTAAAGCTGCTCTTACTAAGACATTACTAAATATTAAACATAATTTATAAACTATAACAACTGTCATATCTCTTTTAGTGATTAAGTAACTTTGTTGGGGAACTGAAGATAAGCAAAAAATTGTAGCACTCGCAACTGGTTGTCCCAGTCACAATTAAACCAACTATAAGTGTTTTATTTTCTTTCTTACCTATCAAAAATGGACTGTCAGGTGCAAACAATTCATCAATTAAAATAAATACCTTACCTTAATTTTGTACTCACCTAACATTCGTCCAACGAATTCGAACAGTTGCAGATGATTATCCTGCACTGAAGACGTAGGTGACGGATATAAACGTTCTTCGCTAGTAGCTTTGAATAGATTCAGCGAAGGATCGAATACCTTTTTGATACTTTCTTCTAGAAACTCCTTGAAAACTCCGTCTTGATCTATACCTGCTTCGTCAAGGCCTTGTTCGTTTATAAATCTAACTCTTATTACCCCCTTTAATGATTGGGAAGGTAACATAGCCAGCTGTCTATATCCATCTTCTACAATTCGGTTCCTGAAATTAAACATAATATAAACTGTTTGTAAATGAGCGTTTCCGAAATACCGTCACTACATATCCTGGTGCAAATATTGGATCTGATCATCAACCACTCGTAGCAGATATTAAACTAAGGTTAAAACAAATTCAGCGATAAAAACCAAAAACCAATGTACATACTTAACTTTGACGATATAAACATAAAACATAACATTAAAATAGAATTTAACAATAGAATAAAAAACATTGGAGAACAACTAGAAGATCCAAAAGAACTATGAAGTGAATTTAAAAACCAAGTTAACGAAATCTCCACAAACAATGACTATAGAAAAAACTTAATCAAGAAAAATAATTGGATTACAGACAACATCTTGAAATTAATGGAACAACGTCGACTGATAAAATTTAATGTAACAGAATATAGACACCTGCAGAGAAGAATAAAAAAGGAGATCAAATTAGCCAAAGAAAAATAGACGAGAGAAGAGTGTGACGGAATGGAGGATATAATATCTAAACACGACTTATTTAATGTGCACAAAAAACTGAAAGAAATGGGTAATATATTTAAAAAAACGAGTTCCCTCTGTACTTGTTGACACTAATAACAAAATTATTGTAAATGAGCAAGAAATAAGAAAAAAATGGCAGCTGTATATATCAGAGTTGTTTCTCAGAATCAGAATCAGAATTCTACCAAAACTGTACTGACGGCCCAGAAATTATGAAATGCGAAGTAGAACATGCTATATATAATGCTAAAATTAGAAAAGCTTGTGGTCCACATGATACACCAACTAAGTTGCTGAAAGTGATAGAGAGTGATAACATAAAAGTAGTAGTAAGACTTTTTAATTTAATAAATAACACCGGAGTGATTCCCACAGATTGACTCAAATCCATCTTTATCGCAATACCTAAAAAACACAATGTGAGAAAATGCTCAGAATATCGATTAATGAGCCTAATGAGCCACACTCTTAAAATTTTCCTCAGAATACTTCACAATAGAATTAGACGCAAATGCGAAGAAGATCTTGAAGATACCCAAATTGGTTTTAGAAATGCTATGGGAACCAGGGAGGCACTTTTTTCGCTTAACATCCTATTACAAAAATGCCGTGACCAAAGAAAAGATTTATTTGCATGTTTCGTGGACTTCGATAAAGTACCGGGTGGTCCAATAAGCCGATCTCTCGGCTATATATCAGAAACTATTCATGTTATAACTTTAGGAGAAAAAATTCCTTAGTAAAAGTGGCCAAGAGAAATCGCTGGAAATAACTTTCAAGATTCTGGATTAACCGCTAGGGGGCGTAACCTGCGAAGAAAATTCTGAAAACCAGTTTTTTGGGAAATATGTCCAATTATACCAAGTATTAAATAACTTAACTAGAAAGAGGCATAAATTCTGCACAAAGTTGTTCAAGTACTTTTTTTTTATTTTTTCAAATAAAGGGTGGGGGAGAGTGGGAAAGTATTTGTGGATAAATGCCTATAACTTTGGTTTGGATCAACCGATTTTAACAAAATTAGTGTCATTAGAAAGAGTATGGATGAATTAATTTACATCTACTATAAAATAATTGCATTTAGTTTTAATTGTCGTAGGTAGAGGGTACTTTCGAATAGAAAAAATTAAAATTTGTTTTTCTTCAAAATTTTTAATGGAAACACCTATTTATTGTAAATTATAATACAACTGGATTAAATTCGTAACAAAATGGCGCAAACCGTATGTTAATAGCTTTTATCGAACTCGAGATATGAATAAAAACGCATAAACATAAGTAAGTATAGTATTGACACACCCTGTATTATAAAATAAATTAAAAAATAAGTCAGTAGGTACTTTCAAAATTTTTTATAGCAGAAAACTCTTAATGTTGATACCTATTTTGACCATTGTTATATCATATGATTAAAAATTGTTTTTTTCGAAACGAAGTAGGCTACGACAATGAATTTGACAGGGAGTTCATATTGTTTATTTATTGACAGCAGTCAAAATATTGTTAAGAATGTATATCAAATTGTATGATATGATTGGAGTTTATTTCGAATATCACCAAAATGGCGCTATTGCCTCACGTATATATTCTGTAAGATATCCTGGCAGGAGATATTGTGGCAAAGAAGTAGAGATTTCGGACTACTTATATGTGGATTCTGTTGAATTAAAGCAAGAACATTGATTGAATTATCTTCGGTCATAACTCTACTACGTCGTTTAAAACAAGGATGAGAAAAACTACCAGTTTCTCTTAATCTTTTTGCCTTTCTTTCAAATACTTCTTTGCCATAATGTCTCCTGTCACGATATCTTACAAAATATATACGTGAGGCAATAGCGGCATTTTGGTGACATTCGAAATAAACTCCAATCATATCATACAATTTGATATACTCATCACGAATTATTTGTACTGATAATTAATTATTAATATTACCAATATTAATATCTACTGAAAAAAGTGTAATCTTTAATTTGAATTATAATATATCACTTCTTAAGAATGTTTTGACTGCTGTCAATAAATAATCAATATGAACTCCCCGTCAAATTCATTGTCGTAGCCTACTTAGTTTCGAAAAAACTACTTTTTACAAAATAGGTATCAACATTAATATTCTTCTGCTATAAAAAAATTTGAAAATACCTACTGACTTATTTTTTAATGTAATTTATAATACAGGGTGTGTCAATACTATACTTACTTATGTTTATGAGTTTTTATTCATATCTCGAGTTCAACAAAAGCTATTAACATGCGGTTTGCTCCATTTTGTTACGAATTTATTCCAGTTCCATTATAATTTACAATAAATAGGTGTTTCCATTAAAAATTTTAAAGAAAAATAAATTTTAATTTTTTTTATTTGAAAGTCCCCTCTACCTACGACTACGAAAACTAAATCCAAATATTTTATAGTAGATGTGAATTATTTCATCCACACTCTTTCTAATGACACTAATTTCATTAAAATCGGTTGGACCAAACCAAAGTTATAGGTATTTATCCACAAATACTTTCCCACTCTCCCCCACCCTTTATTTGAAAAAATAAAAAAAAGTACTTGAACAACTTTGTGCAGAATTTATGGCCCTTTCTAGTTTACTTATTTAACACTTGGTATAAGTGGACATATTTCCCAAAAAACTGGTTTTCAAAATTTTCTTCGCAGGTTACGCCCCCTAGCGGTTAATCCAGAATCTTGAAAGTTATATCCAGCGATTTCTCTTGGCCACTTTTACTAAGAAATTTTTTTTCCTAAAGTTATAACATGAATAGTTTCATGTTATAACTGCATTCAATATGGAATAATAATTGTCCTGCATTCAAATGCAGGACAATTATTATTCCATATTGCAGAAGATCGAGAAGCCTTCGCAATGGTGATCGCCAACGTCGGATAAATCTGATATGGCACGCGAAGAAGAAGATAAACTGTTTGGTAAAGTATGTGGTATTTATCTTGATATTTTTACATTTAATATTTTTCTTTTACTGTACTATAATATGGTCTAATTTAATAGTATATTCTAACGACTTTGCTTTAAAATATATTGCTTCCTGTTATTTCGTAAAATCGTATTGTTAAACTGGCTATCTCATTTATTATATTTTAAGTACGGAAATTTTTACTTCTTTTGTTATTTCTGTGTCGATAATACACACAAAACGACCATTGAATTGGATTGTCGCTATTCAGAAGCGCCCTACAATAGGGTTGATTTATGGGATGACCACCATAAGAACAGCGGACAGAAATGACAGAGGTAAGAAGTATGAGCCGACTATCTAAATTAATTTTGTTAGCCGATAAAGCGTTTTCTAGATAAATACAGGTACGCTCTCGAATGACACTATCCAAATTACGTCTAAGTGTATATACCTCGGCACTCAAAACTTTCTAAAGAAACTGAGACACAATAAATAAAAATATTAATTTAATTTTAATGAATCCAACTCACCTGTGAACAGTAATAAGGGTAGATTGAGGTGATGCGCAGACAGACTCAGTCAGACCTAGTACGGTTTTTTCGTTAGTAATGTATTTCCTAAATAATCTAACTCTATCATCATGGGGAATGACATGAGGCATGGTCTGTAGCAGCAGTTGTGGAGCTCGACGACCTTTTTCCAAGTCAGCTATGAAGACGGAAACTTTAATATCCTTTATCAACCAATGACCTGATGGAGTGTAACTTCTTCTGCAATCTCTTTTATACAACAGCATTAGGATTGCATGCAGGGAACTAAACAAGGAGTTGTTGTGTATCGTTTTAAAATCTAAAATTTATGAAATTTTATATGATAAAAGGTCAATTTTGTCGTTTATAATTTTGAGTATACATAAAACTAAAATAATATCAAAATATCAAACAGCAACAAGAGGCCGTTCTTCTGCTGATCTATTGGCATGTCGGCAGACAGGTAGCAGGATTTTATTACCCAAATAAGCACTTTTAAATTGAAACCAATTAGATATTCTTGACTTGGTGTAAAGCTACAGTTGAAACAACCTTCTACCAGATCAGGTATAAAGTTTTTAGAGACATCCTAGTGGTGCTTCAGTTAGAGTTCAGAATTTGTTGCAGATATTTCAACAATTATTAGGGGAGGTACGTACATTGCAGGTATGAGGTATCCTCTTTCTCCGGATAATACCTACATGATCTACTTGGAAAAGAAAGCTCTACAAGAGGCAGAAAATTTGAACTTTTGAAATTTTATAAGAATCCAAGCTCTATCAACAATAAAATCTAATAACTCTAAAACTGAAAGCTAATTATCTGAAGTCAGTCGATAAAATATGTTATAAATTAATTGTTTTTTAGTGTTAGTAATATAAGACTGTGAATTTTAAATTTTTTTTTATAATTATGTTTATTTACAATCTACATCATTACAGTGTATAAAGTAAATGTGGTACAGGCTTTGGGCGTGAAGGAGAGACATCCAATGATGTCTCACCTTATTCTATTTTGGTTTAGTTTTGAAGTAGGTCTTGGGGCCAGGTTTTTTTTATTGTACAATGGCTTTGGCATAGCCAATTAGCCAGTTGGGGCCAGGTTATATCTAGTCTTCTTGTGACTGGACCATTTTTGAATAACTCTCCTACTAGCTCATTTTCATGGTGAATGGTAAGTTCATTTTGTGACTCGATGGATCTGATAAAAAGAATCTTTAAGTCGTAGTGAAGTGTTTGATTACTTACGTATCATGATGCACCCACTATCGATCTGAGCACTTTAGACTGGAATCTTTGGATAATATTCAGCGACGTTGGCTTTGCACAGCCCTATAGGTGTAGTCCGTAGAACCAGATACGTTTGACTGTGGCTTTGTAGAGAAGAATTTTGTTTTGGATGTTAAGTTTTGATTTACGTCCAAGGAGCCAATACATTTTCCGGAATTTTAAGTCTTCTTTTGGTCTGGATATGTTTCTTCCAAGTGAGACGTTAGTCAAGATAGACGCCAAGGTATCTAGTGTCTGTTGCTGTTGGTATTCTTACATTTTCCATCCTTACAGGTGGGCATATGTTGTGACGGATGTTATTTGAGTTGATTTTGTTTTATTTACTTTGGCTCTCCATTTCTTCTCTTTTTTTCTTCTCCATATATCAATCACTGAGTATGTTCAGATGATGTTACAGGTTTTGTGATGTTTATATGGGATCTTCATTTACAGCTAGTATTGCTACGTCGTCAGCAAAGGAAGCGATTGTAGTATTATTAGTCTCTGGTATGTCGGCTGTGTAGAGTGAGAAAAGCAGCGGTTCTAGAACACTAATCTGGGGGACTCCTGAGTTGATAGGACAGAGGTTGGATTGTTGGTCTTTGAATTTTACAGAGAAATATCTATTTGATATGAAGGATTTAAATAGGAAGAAATAATTACTGAAGAGAGAAATAGAAATATAGCGTTGCAGTATGCAAGACTTTCTAATATTTTATTTATCATTCGATGGACTTTCCCGAAAACCAAACTGATGTTTTGATAGTAAAGTTAGGAATTCATGATCTGCATGTATCCTTTGTAACAGCAATCTTTCAAAAACTGCTTACGGCTGTGAGTATGGGTCGATAAGATGTTACTTCATTGGGCTCTTTTCTTGGCTTTGTAACGATGTGCTGATCGTTTAACAGTTCGAACCGTGTGAGTTTCAATATTTGCGCACCCACTTCTACAACGAGATGGCGAAGTGGGATTCGGAGCCGTTATTTAAGGCGTGTGAGTAGCAGAATTAGACAGTCTTGTAGCTAGTGCTCTAGGCTCCTCGACTGGCCGGTGTACTGAACCTACGAGCCAACCCGGACAAGAGATATTTCCGTATTGAAGATCATACTCTGTCCTTAACCAAGCAGAACTATCGGTATTGTGTATTGAACTTTACCGTGGGGCCTGCTCAGCCGAATATTTAGTTTGCGAGTGCGTTAGGAGTTCCCGTTGAATTGAAGCGGAAGCGAGTATAAGTCTGCGTGCAATTGACTTCACCTATTTTATTTGTTTGTTATTAATAATAACTTTTTCTTTCTTTTATAGACATTCGCCGGGAATTCATTCATCGTGGGATCCAGACGGGGACGTAGAATTCGTTTTATTTTTATTTATTGTATATACGGCGGAGAATTCATTTAATTTTTATTGTACATACGTTAAATTAATAGATTTACTTTTATTTCAACCTGTGTTTTACTGAGTCTGTTGCCCTGAAAGAGCTACCCGTCACAAACTGGCGCCCGAGCAAAATTGAGGAATTGCTAAAAGCTACCGAAAATTAATAACATGCCGACAGATAAGGTCACAGACTTAGTAACAGGTACGTCGTGGATAAACCGACTTTGCAAAGAGGAATTGCAAAGCGAGGCCGAAAAATTCGGCTTAGATTCCAAGGGAACCGTCGACGAATTGAGAGTACGACTCACAACCTATTTTAGAAATCGCGAGAAAGCGACAGGAACAATCCCAAAAGAAAAAACTTCCAAGGGAACAGAATCCGACACACTGACCCAGGAAATTTCGGGCATCCGAAGACAATTACAGGAATTAACAATAACGAAACAAATGGGGCAATCAGAATTGCTAAATCAGGTACGAAGGTGGAACACACACTTCGACAAGAAACATTCGGATGCAATAGAATTCTTAGAGAGGATAGAGGATACAGAAGCAATAACAAAAATTGGAAGCCATGGACAGATTTCAGCGAAGATTTTAAAAAAGCTTTCTACTCCAGGGGATATTTGCTACAACTAGAGGAGCAAATCCGGAACAGAAAACAGAAACAAAACGAACCAGTAGATAGATATATCACGGAGATTCAAACATTAATCAGACGAAAGGCGATCTTTTTCTAGAAACCAAGAAATCGAAAGGATATACAAAAATTTGTTACCAGAATATAAGCTTTACGCTCACCGCCGGGATTTTGAAAATTTAGCCGAATTACAAGATTTAACCCAAGAATACGAAGCTTTAGAAGACAAAAAGACCCGATCAAATCAGATTTGCCGTGGAAACTGGAGACGTACGAACCAAACAGAGTAAGATGCCAAAACGACATGCTTTAGATGCAAGATGCCAGGTCACAGCCGTAAAAACTGCAAAAACCCATGGAAAAAGTTTTGTTCGCGTTGCGGCGGAAAATGGGTTTACAGCAGCGACTGCTGTTTCAGGCGTCAGGGAAACGATCTACAGATTGGAGAAACAAGGAGTCGTCCCAGTCTGTAAAGCAAGATTCGACTCCATTCATTTTCGCCGTTACACAGCCAGCAAGCAATGACATTCGACTGTTCGCATCACTGAAAATAGGGCAAAGAACATACAGAGCGCTTATCGACACAGAAACCACTAAAAATTACGTCGGGGAAGAATAGCTCAGACATACAAGGACTCTCTGGATAGCAAGACTAGCAAATGGAGCGTCAATGGAGCTTAACCAGAAGTTGACAATTGAATGCGAAATCGATAAGTTACAAACCCGACAAACATTCATAGTAATGCCAGGGTTGACGGAAGATGCCTTACTAGGAGTGGAATTCCTCAGGAACCATTCTATCGAACTTAAATTCGATAAACATACGACCAAACAATACGTACCACATCAAGAAGAGACATGTAATACTTTAAAAGACTCCACTAAAAATACGGAGTTAGAAAGGTTCCTAAGAAAAGCGCTCAGGGAATTTGAGAACAGAACAGGACCCACCAACTTAATAAAGCACGAAATAAAATTGAAGAAAAAATGCGATCCAGTCAAACAGCCTTATAGGCGGCACAATCCCGCAATGGATCAACCAAGAAGTGGACAATATGTTAAAAGAAGGAACCATCGAACCCTCCACAAGTGGTTGGAGTCCACCGATTGTACTAGTTAGGAAAAAGGATAACTCGTACAGGTTTTGCATTGATTTTAGAAAAGTCACAAAGACGATACACGTCACAAGAGGATCATAACGATTTCAGCAAATTTCCATATTTTTGAAAAGTATGATAAGCTTAGCATGCGGTTAAATATAACTGTTAGCAAAGTAATGGTCTTGCGAGGAAATTGTTTTAGTACTTGTGTTGTGATTAAATCCTGGTGAGCTAAGCATAAGCCTTTCGTGAGTTGAGTTTGTTTGTTTCTTGACTTCTATAGGAGTACAACTTTTAATTGGGAGGGACATTTGAAATGCTGCGCTAATTAGTTAGAAGACTGTGAATAAATTAGAATAAGTGTCAGAAGCAAAAGCAAAACATGGATCGCGAATTTGCTACTTCATTTCTTGATTTAATTGATCATCAAGACTAATTTTATCAATACTTCAAAATAAGTTACGAAAACTATTATCTATTCTAAAAATTGATTTTAAACATTTAAAAACTTTATGTCACAAAAAGAACGATTAGTAAAAGATTAATCACAATGGGCTGTATATTAAAACTTTGCGTAGACAAATAAGAATGTTCTACTTTTACAATATGCTGTACTGAATTTTTCCAGCTCTCAATCGATATATTATTTATAACAGTTTTAATCAACTCTATGACAGTCGCACTCAGGGTAGGAGAGACATTTTCCGCTCTTACCTTTGCTTTTACTTGGTGCCACATATGTTCAATGGGGTTGAATACACTATGGTGTGGAGGAAGACGTAACACAGTGTGTCCCATCTGTTCTGCTAAGTTGTCACATACATATTGCTTTTTAATAGCAAAAGTATTTAACACTTCCAGTAGTTGCTCTTTCTTGTAACTAAATTCAAAATAAATATCATTTTCTATCAAATACTCCTGAATTTCACTTTTAGTACTTGTTCTGTTTGGAGCTTTTTGAAGCTGACGACTGTGATAGCTTGCGTTATCCATTACAATGACACTATTGTTAGGGATATTTTTTAAAAGATAATTTTGAAACCAATTTTCAAAAAGTTCTCCACTTGTATCTTGATGGTAGTCCAAGCTAGAGTCCTTGATATTCTTCGCAGATAACAGCAAGCAGTTTGGGACCCATCCGTCTTCCGAACCAGCGTGATTGTTATGCGTTTTCCTTTATTTGAAGGTGCTTTTGTCTGGCAGTTTCTACTAGAATCGATCCATCCTTTTTGTACTGTATCGTGTGAATCGAACCATGTTTCATCCAGGTAAATGATAGATCTGTTTTCTAATCTATATTTCCTAATGTCAGAGAGATAACTATATCTCCAAGTACGCAATCTTTGTGATTCCATTAAAACTTGTTTTTTGCCTATCTTACGATATTTAAAACCCATTGTAGAAATGACTCTATGGAGTCTTCTTCTAACTTCAATTTAGTTTATTCAAAGTAGGAACAATCTGGTTTTCATAGAGGGAATATACTTTTCTTCTTATCATATCTTGTTGAGCACTGTCCAAACGATGAGACCGGAAATCACTACATTTTTTTCTGCCTGGAAGCGTTTTACTGTTTACAATATCGTTTATCGACGATATTGGCGTTTTTGTAACTACACATGTTTCTTTTACAGGAGCTTGTTTGATTAAGCCTCTACTTATTAAAGTATCTTACACATGTATGACAAGTGCTTTCGACTATGACTAATAGCCGGCAAGCGATTATTTTCCCAAGGACGAAACATAATTACACTCGTATTATAAACCGCACAGTAACAAGGACTATTAACGACTGATAAAACACGTTTTTAAATATGTTGCTAGTAAATACCTGCCCACCGAGGGCTGGGTCAGGTATGCGTTGGCCAGTGCCATGAGAATTATAATCATTACTTAGTATCAGTCGTTAATCCATTAGTTCCCAAGAATAGAAGAAAAACAATTTGTTTCTTTTATTGCATTTTATTGCTAAAATTATATCTAAATACTTATTTATCAAGTTAACAAAATTAAAGTTCTTAGTTTTTAACAAAATGTTGCGTATCGCAACAATGGGATTTGCCAAAACAAAAAAAAATTATTTACTGTGAAATTATTCGTGAAAGTAATAGGATGTAGATGTATTTTACACTTCGCACACATACACACACACACACACATATATATATATATATATATATATATATATATATATATTTGCACTGTCTGCATCTTTTTCTTGCTTTGTTCTCCTTCCTTCAATGAATTGGATCTTGTAGGATTGTTGATTGGAACATTTGAAGCCGATATACCCTCTCCTTGGAAGTTATCATCGATGAGCAGTACTTCAATTTTCAAAAGGGTAACTGCTATGTAAGACTTAAAATCTAATTGTGACATTTTAGTTTTATTTGCCACGTTATATATTTTCTACGCACTAACAATAACACTATGAATCACATTCATAAAAATGGGCCACCACTATTTCTTTCCTTTTACCTTTATTCTGTAATTTGATATGCCGTTATCATGCAAATCAACACCACCTATTATGTTGATATTACTCAGCTATCAATTTTGGCTAAGGAATTAGTTGGATTTTGTTTTCTTTCCTGTCATATCTTTTTGCACCTGCAAGAGGTTCAATGGTACAATTATTTGTTACAACTGTCACTAGAGAATTGTCATTCCATCTAACTAATAATACACTTTGTTCAGAATTGTAAGAAAAATCGTCCACGATCTTGTTTTTTAATATTTTTTACACTTTCCATTGTACTATTACAAGTGCTGTTTTCGCGGATCGTCTCAGTAGCGTAAAATCCCCTTTCTTTTAGCGAACCGAATAGCTTGTAAGATGAGAAAAAGTTATCAAAAAATATGCGATGATTAGATTTTCGTTCAATCACTGATAACAAATCCAGCACAACGTTTTCTCCTAGACCCAACTCGTTTTCATAAGCACTTGTTTTTCCACCATAAGGTACAATTTTAAATAAATAGCCATTTGAACTACATAGACACCATATTTTGAACCCAAACCTATTTGGTTTTCCTTTTATGTACATCTTACAACAATGTCTTTCAAAATATTGCATCACATCTATGGATAGATTATGAGAAAATACTTTAAACTGCATGTTCTTTTCATTTATACAATTAAATTAGAATTATTGTACAAACAAAAATGCAAAATCTAAATTTTATTATCTAAATCCGTTAGTCTGTTAACATTATTGAAATCGATTAGGTATGCAAAAATCAAAAAATATTTTAGAAATACGACACACTATCTTTTCTACTGATAGATATATCAATATAAATTGATAATTTAAGAAATATAATTTTATGTTTAGTACGCAAATTATATCGACAAAAATATGAAAAAAAATTTTTCGATTTTTTCAATATTGACTAAATTAAAAAATATATACCTTTTCAATTATTTCTAAATATTTTATTAGATTCGTATTCTATGTACTGTTATGTATTGTTTTATGTATTGTTAAAATGTATCAATAAAAATTATATTTAAGCAGTGATACATTAAAAAAAAAAATACAATTAAAAATGTTTCGTTTACGCTACGTTGGGAACTAATGGGTTATATCGGTTGAAAGCTGAAAAAATTCTGTACAGCATATTGTAAAAGTTGAACATTCTTATTTGTCTACGCAAAGTTTTAATATACAGCCCATTGTGATTAAGCTAAATGATGACTCCGACAGTGAAACAGAATTGATCTTAGAATAACAACACAGAATAATAATCAATATTAATTTAGTTTAAATCTCGTATTGTTATGTTTCGAATATAAATAATATAAGTATTAGAATAAGAACATAGATATTTAATAATCATTAATTTTTAACTTTTACAGTGTAGTTTAAATATCTTATTGTTATCACCCAGTATTGAATATAAGTTTTAAAATACTACTAAATACATGTAATTTTTTTACAATAAAATAGATGCCTCGAAAAGAAATTGCTATATTATTAGTTTTACTTGGAGTCCGCCTCTGATGCCCTGTCATAAAATACCTAGATGGAGATAAGACAATAAATCAGGTAAAATTCAAAACGTACATTGAGACAGACTTTATAGTAACTTTTAGGTAAGTATTCTAAATTTTCAAGTTCTTACGTTGTGGTCTCATGGTCGTGGTGTACGCTCACCAGATATCGCACAAATACATACTAACCGAGAAAATAATTCATTCCGAGTTTTCGACGTGGTTCAGAGTTAATGTGTTACGTTTCCGTAAACTGCGTGATGGTTCATCTAAATAAACAAACACAATAAATTGTTGATCGTTGGGGTGCGTTCCGTAGCCGGTCGGTTCAGACAATTGCGGGCCACCTTAAAAATGAATCGCAATATCTGGTCATTAGCGCTATGGTTAGTACTCATTTTGAATAACGATCTATACACTGGTTTAATCATATTTTAAAGTACTACTTACCAAATAAATTACCCAGTACTGCCTTGTACAAGAATATATTCAGAAAGTTAGACATAACGATAAAATCTGAGAGCTTAAACGGATTTTGTTGTTCGTACATTTCCATATCGTCCAATATCCTAAAAAGGAAATATTTCAATAAGTGTGTATTTGTATATCTAGTCCTGCTATAAATATTGATACAAGGTATTTAACTAAAAAAATTTCAACTATTGATTTGATTTGAAAAATTCTTGCACAATTTATTACTAACATCATCGTCACAGTCATTAACATCTTAGTAGATGTGTTGTGGTTCATAATTGGGCTTCAGCAGCTCGGACAGTTTGATTGATAATATTTCTCCACTGGTCGCGGTCATCAGTTATATGTATTGCCTCAGTATACTGTTTATTGAGAAGCTTTTTAGTAATGTCCGCCCATCGCTGTGGAGATCTTCAGCGTTGGCGTTGAGTCTGAGGCCTTCCTTGGACCACCAACCGCTCCATTTTGTGATCACTTGTGATTACTAACATAGTACACTACAAACTAAAAAAAATTATTCAATACTTCATCATCATCAGTAGCTCGACAACCTTTTCTGGGTCGTGGCTTGTTTTAGGATTTTCCGCCATTCTGTTCTGTTCCTTGCTTTGTTTTTCCAGTTAGTAATCTTAAGTCTCATTTTTGTGAGACAAAAACACATAAAAAATGAGACATTTGAGATGCTATGTTTTCTCTGTGTTGTTGCACGGGGCGGAGGCATGGACGCTTACAGACACCACTATTAAAAAACATGAAGCATTTGAGATGTGGCTTTATAGAAAAATGCTGAGAATATCATGGACAGCAAGGATCACGAACAAGGAAGTTCTAGGAAAAATGAAGAAGGAACCAGAGATTGTGTTTACGATCAAACGCATAAAATTGCAATATCTGGGACACATTATGAGAAATCAGCACCGTTACTCCCTGCTACAGTCTATATTGCAAGGTAAAGTCAAAGGTAAGCGAGGACCCGGTAGAAGGAGAATATCATGGCTGCGGAATTTAAGAACATGGTTTAAGAAAACCTCAACGGAGCTGTTTCGAGCCGCAGCGAGCAAGGTTATGATTGCCAATATGATTTCCAACATCCGAAACGGATAGGAACCAGAAGAAGAAGAAGAAATCTTAAGTGTTTTCAGATCTTGTTCCACTTGTTCCATGTATCTAAGTTTGGGTCTCCCTTTGACCTTCTCCACACTGGTGTTTGCCTTATTATATGTTTTGGTATCTTCTTTTAAGTATTCTTAAGACTAAAAACATTGATAGTAGAGATCTACAAATTATATCGAATCTGTATCAAAACCAGAAAGCAAGAGTAAGAGTCGAAGGAGAACTGACAGAGGAAGTAAGTATACTTAGAGGAGTTCGACAAGGGTGTATCCTTTCACCACTCTTATTCAACGTGAAGATACAGTGAAGTGATTTTTCAAGAGGCTTTATTGGATATCGTGGAAGGTATTTATGTCAACGGAAATAGCATTAATAATATTAGATATGCCGACGATACTGTCATATTTGCAAGTGACATGGAAGATCTACAGTACATAATACAATATGTATACAATGCATGTGAAAGTTAAATGAATCTCAAGAAAACGAAATCAATGATATTCTCAAAAAAAAACCACAAAATGTAAATAACCTGATCATCAATAATACAACGATAGAAAGAGTAAAAACATATAAATAATTAGGAACGTGGCTAACCGAAGATGGAGATCAAGTAAAGGAGATCAGATCTAGAATAGAAATGGCAAGAAACACGTTCATAAAATTGAAGAAATTACTTTGCAACCGTAACCTTAATCTAGAGATTCGCACAAGAATGCTACGTTGTTACGTCTTCTCTACTTTACTATATGGCATGGAAGCGTGGACAATAAAGCAGTCTGAAATCAAAAAATTAAACTCCTTTGAGATGTGGTGCTACAGGAGAATGCATAAAATATCGTGGATTGAAAAAGTAACTAATATAGAGGTGTTACAAAGAATGAAGAAAGAATGTGAAGTCATAAAAACTGTTAAAGAAACCCAGGACGACGCAAAATGTCCTGGCTAAGAAATTTGAGAGAGTGGTTCGGCTGCAGCTCATTAGAATTATTCAGAAATGCGGCCAACAAAGTTAAAATAGCGATGGTGATTTCCAACCTCCGCTAGGAGAAGGAACCCGAAGAAGAAGATGTTTTGGTGTTTACCCCTTATATATGTGTCTAAGGATTTTTCGTTCAAATGTACCTGATTGGTTCTTATCGCTTTTCGACAGCATCCAACTCTCTGATCCATATACAAGGACCGGTTTTATCAGACTCTTGTATATTTTGTATTACTTATATGTTTAATCAGTCCATTATATGTTTTATTAGCGATATATATATATATATATATATCCTTCTCTTAACTTCTTCACTGACATTGTTATCTGCGGTAACTAGTGAACCTAGATATGTAAATCTTTTCACGCTTTCGATGTTGTAGTCTCCTATTGTCAGATTCTGTAGGTTTATTTGGCCTGTCGATTTACTGGCCTTCATGTATTTGATTTTTATTTCGTTAATACTTAGGACACTGTTTTGTGCCGCTCTTTCTATCGAATTAATGCTTCTATCATCTCTCTTTAGCTTCTAGCTATGATATCAATATCATCTGCGAATGACAATGTTTGTACACTTTTTTAAATGCTAGTATTGTTCCTCTGGTGTTGATTTTTGACTCCCTAATTATTTTCTCTAATGTGATGTTCAATAGAATACAGGATAGGGCATTCCCCTGTCGTAGGCCCGTTCTCACATGGATTGTATCTGTTAGTTTAAGTGTTTATTTTACTATATCAATGAGTTGAGTTGGAATATTAAACTGTTTCAGTGCGTGGATCAGAAATTCTCGATGAATGCTATCATAGACACTCTCAAAGTCAATGAAAAGATGATGTGTGTCTATATTAAATTCACTAATCTTGATTTGCCTCAAAACGAAGATCTGATCTATTGTGGACTTCTGCCTGCGGAAACCACATTGATATCCCCCAACTATTTGTTCCGCATATGGTCTCAATCAGTTATACAAGTTATACACAATTTTGACAGTATTTTATATGCTACAGTCAGTAGCGTTATTGCCTGGTAGTTTTTACATTGAAGCTGATCTCCTATTTTATGTAGTGGGATAATTACTCCAGTATTCCAGTCTTGTGGCAGTTATTTATTATTCCTTATGTTCACTATTAGTTCATGTATCGCATCCAATAGTGAGTCTCCACCTTCCTTTATTAATTCTGCGCTAATATTGTCTAATCCAGGTGACTGGTTGTTTTTCAGTCTGGTAACTGCTTCTTGCATTTCAACTACTGAAGGGGGGTTGTTTCTCTGGTATCCGTTTGATACAGTATAATTCCATCATATAGTGGATCTTCGTTTTTTTTTCAAACTTTTCTTTGAAGCAAGTCCATCTTTGTAGTATTTCACTCTGTTGAGTTACTATATCTCCTTCTTTGTCTCTACATCTCATTGTTCTTGGTTTAAATTCTTTTCTAGTTTTGTTAAGTTTTTGATAGAATTTTCTGGTTTCTGATGTTCTTTTTCTATGTGTTCTCTTTTCTTTCTGCGATATAATTTCTTATTTTCCCTCCTTAGCATTCTATATTCCTCCTCTGCCTTTATGTTCTATGTCGTTGTTGTAGCCGTTAATATGCATTGTTTTTCCTCTCTGTTCTGTTACGACATTATTCATCGAACCTCTGTCCTTCAGTTGATTTGAGCTTTTTTGTAGACCCAGGGTCTCTTTGGCCGCGTCTTGTATGATGTTTTACACGCTTCCCATTTTCTGTTTATATCTTCGTTCTTTTGTCTGTTTTCTAGCTTTCATTTGGAAACTTGTAACCCCATCTGGAGATCTCCAAGTTCCCTTATGAATATTTTTTCGCTGGAAGTATATGCTGGCAATGAGCATGTTAAAGGAAGTTGCTAGATTTATTAGTCTGATGCCATTGTCATTGGATACCTCATAAAGGCTGTGCTCACCTATAGTTGGAAGGTATTGTTGCTCTTTTCCTATTTTAGCGTTGAGATCACCATAAATAATTTTGATGTCATTCTATTCAATTCTTACTAACAATAAAATAAGGGATGACTACATTTTAAAACAATTAATATTCATTTAATTGGCTACTTACGTGACGTAGTGTAGCATACAGTCCGAAAATAGTTGCAGTAACTGAAATTCTGGTGCGGAGCATTTGGTATTAAACGCTAAATGATCCAAAAAAGGTTTTATTCCACAATTTGGCCCCAGCGAACAGAGAAATAACCATAAATTGTAGAGTACTGTGTTTTGATAGCATAAACCTAAAAATAAAATATATTGCGCTAAAATCGAGACATCGAAAAATAAAATTTGAGAAGGCTATAAATCGAAACATTTAAATAAAGTAGGTCACCGAAAACTGTGTACTTTTTTGATTTGAAACAATAATACATTTTTTGTGTAGAATTGAATGTTATTTCGTGTTTTTTTTTCCTAGAATGTTTATACAGGGCGGACAAAAAATTATGGCCGCATTAACGAACCAATGTTATTGTAGGTGGCGCCACCTAGTGTCAATTAATATCATTTTCATATTAGGCATACTAAATAATAGCAAAATACAAAATTTCACTTAAATCGGTTGAATAGTTTTCAATATATTTATATATATTATAAATACGGATTTTAAAGATTTAAACGTGGATAGTACAGGTACCAAGCAGAAAATGGACATGGATGAGTCCCGATAAAAAGACAAAGAATGAAATAGATTATATCTTAACGAAGAATAGAAACCTAGTAGAAGACGTATCAGTATTAAATCAGTTTGACCTAGGAAGCGATCATAGACTAATAAGAACAAAACTAGTAATTAACAAAAAAACTAGAAAGAAAAAGAATACATGAAAAAAGATACAAATGGACATCTGAAGAAATCAAAAATAGTGAATTTAATAAAAAGATAGTGCATGCATTAAATCAAGTTAGCATGCAGCAGATAAACTCCAATGATATTGATGATTTGAATAACCTTATTACCGAAACAGTGAATAAAAGCCTTCTGCAACTGAAAAAACCAAAAACAACATACAATGAATTAGACAAAGAAATATTACAACAAATAGAAAGAAGGAAGATCTTAAATAAATCTAACAAAAGGGGAACCGACGAATATAGAGAACTTAATAGGCAGATTAGAAAAGGAATCAGACAACAAAAAAGAAAAGAAAAATTAATAACAACAACTATTGAAAAAAATAAGAGTATGAAATGTCTCAGACCGACACTAGGACAACGTCAGATGATATCATTAATAGGAAAAGACGAAAATGAAATCACAAGTAGAGAAAACATACTGACACGAATAGAAGAATTTTACACAGAACTTTACAGATCACATCAACAAGATGATGAGATGAGACCAGCACGGAAATTAATAAAAAATGTTGGATCAGAAATAATGCCAAAAGTAACAATTTCAGAGGTAACTACAGCATTGGAAAACATGAAGAGAAATAAAGCTGCAGGAGAAGATAGTATTACCACAGATATGATATTAGAAGGAGGTAAGGAACTAATTGCAATTGTAACTAAGCTTGTGGACAGTTGTTTACATTAGGGCAAAGTCCCTAAGAACTGGAACAACTCTAAAGTAATCTTATTGCACAAGAAAGGTGATAGTCGAAAATTGGAAAACTACAGACCCATCAGCCTACTGTCACACTTGTTTAAAATACTCACCAAAGTCATAACTACTCGACTAACAAGGAAATTAGACGAATACCAACCATATGAACTGGCAGGTTTTAGAAAAGGCTATTCAAGTTCCGATCACCTGTTAACCACAAAAATATTAATAGAAAAATGTAACGAATACAAGTTTCCAGTTTTCCTTGCATTTGTAGACTATGAAAAAGCTTTCGATACCATAGAACACACGGCCGTAATAAACGCAATGCAAAATTGTAGAATAGACAGCAGATATATTAACTTAATAAAAGAAACTATGAACCAAGCTATAGCTACATACTACCTAAATGAAAATGAACACACGAACCCTGTACCATTAAACAGGGGAGTCAAACAGGGAGATACTTTATCACCCAAACTGTTCACCTTAGTTTTGGAGGACGTTTTTAAAAACCTAAATTGGAAATATAAGGGAATAAACATCAATGGCCGCTACCTCAGTAATCTACGATTTGCAGATGACATAATTCTGATAGCTACTGACCTACAAGAAATGCAAACCATGCTTGTAGAACTTCATACCGAATCTTCTAAAATAGGACTGAAAATGAATTTAAACAAAACAAAAGTCATGCACTCCGAAGACACCGTGACAATAATAAACGATAAAGTTATAGAAAAAGTTGAAGAATATATACTTGGGACAAAAAATAATCCTAAATAGGGAAATTCAGACTGAAGAAATAAAAAGAAGAAGAAAGTTGGCTTGGGCAGCATTCGGTAAACTGAACTATATACTCAGAAATCAACAAATTCAATTACATCTTAGATCTAAAGTTTTTGATACATGCATTATTCCAATATTAACTTATGCGGCACAAACATGGACAATCACAAAAAAGAATATGAATATACTTAGAGTCACTCAACACGCGATGGAAAGAGCACTGCTAGGTATATCACTTAAGGACAAGAAAACAAACACATGGATAAGACAGAAAACCAAAATCACCGATGTGGTGCAAAAAGCATTAAAGCTGAAATGGGAATACGCTGGACATGTAGCTAGGAGCGATCTAAACAAATGGCACAGATCAATTTTAACCTGGAGACCATACCAACACAAAAGACCCAGAGGCAGACCTCCTATGAGATGGACAGATGATCTGAAAAGGACTACCCGGAAAAATTGGTTACAAGTAGCGTACAATAAAAAACAATGGAAAGGAAGACTTGAAGAGGCTTATGTTCAGATGTGGACGTGAATGGCTAGACGAAGAAGAAGAAGTACAGGTACTGTGCTTACGATTAAGTTTATAATGAAGTGTGTTATTTGTAAAAATTCAACTGGAGATGCTACCATAAACTGTGATAGCTGCACCAGGTCGACACATAGGGAGTGTTCTGGATTGAATGCCAGAGAACTACAAGTTATGGACCTCAAAGGTAAGAAATTGCTTAAATTTTATTGTGAGGATTGTCAGAATGGGATAAAGCTTATTGCTAAATTGCTTGCGAAAATTGATCATATAGAGTTAGAAATCAAACATTTAAAAAATATATCAGATTCTGTTGACAGTAATGACCCTAACACTAGGGAAGACAAAGAAGAAATAATATGTGAGATGATTGAGCGGCAGAGTCGGGCTTCTAACATAATTGTCTGTAACGTGAATGAATCAAAAATGAAAACGCAAGTAGAACGTGATTCTGAAGATGTAACAGCTATTGGGAATATAACTAAAACAATTTTTAATTGAAGGTGATTACTTGGCAACATCGTACTTAACGAAGCCCTTAACGATAACTTTTCAACGAAATCGTATTGAAATTATCAATTTTGCAGAGGCGTACCAAAAAAAATTTTAATTATTTATTTAAACACATAAGTAATTACGTAAAAATTAAATCTAAGACCGATTTAATTATTAAATTATCATGTCTCTTTTAACAGGTATCTTAAGGTATCTTATAGTTGTCTAACAAAATAAAATAAAATTTTATTCTTATTAGAGAGTATCTAATACAGAACTTCAAAAAACAGAAAACTTTGGAAAATATTTTTTTTTCATTAGACTAAAAACAATCTGCAATTTTAATTACACATCATTACACATTATTCTCTATTTATAGAATTACTGTGTGCTGTAAACGTTATATTTGTTTTTTTAACTTAATTTGAAAGTTTGCTTGTGTTTATTTGTTTATATAAATATGAAAATATATTATGAAGTTCATATAAATTAAAATGTAGTAAGCTAAACTATTATCATATGAATGCGTTTATATAGCAGTGCATTTGTTTATTTCAGTAAATTCTCGAAATATGAAATGAAGATGGCACTAACTATTAAAGAGTTAATAGCTTTCTTAGAAGAAGACTTAGATTGTGAAAATGCCACTTAATGTGGTTTATTTGCCGCCGAGATTAGATTAGAAAGTTTCTGATGTAGAAGACATTGATCTTCTTCTTCTTCTTCCTTCTAGTTTGTAGGCTTTAAAGCCTGTTTCTTCTTTAATATTAGCTTCCTAAATTGTTTAAATTGTCGCACCATCTTTTTCTTGGTCTGCCAATACTTCTTCGTCCATTTGGTGACTTATCTCGTGCTATTCGTACTATTCTATCCTCCGCAATTTTACTGATGTGTTTGTTTCACTTTTGTTTTCGTTTTGTCACCCATCCATTTATGTCTTCTATATTGCATGCTCTTCTTATGTTTTTGCTTCTCTCCCTATCCAACAAACTTCTCCTTGATATTCGTCGGAGTATTTTGATCTCTGTTGTTTCTAGCAGTCGTCTCGTTTTAGATGTGTCAGGTCTTGTCTCAGCCGTGTATGGTAATATAGGTCTAATTTCTGCTTTATAGACTCTTGTTTTTGTGTCTTGTCTTAGGTGTTTGTTCTTCCAGATTGTGTCATTAAGAGAACTCGCCGCTTTACTTGCTTTTAAGCTTTGCTGTCGTACTTCTTCTTCAACATCTCCGTAACTAGTTATATCTATTCCCAGATATCCTTGCTTCCGGCTTTATTATTTTCCCATCAATTTCGATTTTACACCGTAGTGGGTATTTAAATGTCATACATTTGGATTTTTCCGTTGATATTATCATATTGTATTTCTTAGCTGTTGTATTGAAGATATGTGTTAATCTTTAGAGGTCGTCTTCTGTCTCGGCGATTAATGCGGCGTCGTCTGCATAACATAATATTTGGATTTCTTTGTTCCCAATTCTGTAACCATGACGTTTACGTACTGCTTGTATTATTTCGTCCATTAATATATTAAAGAGAAGTGGGCTTAACGAGTCACCCTGTCTGACTCCGCTTTGTACTGTTATACACTGTGTTAGTTTTCCATTTATCTTTGCCTGTATTCGATTATGGAAGTAGATGCTTTCGATGGTTTGTATAATATTGATTGGTATGTTCCTTTTATACAGTAGGTGTAAGACGTCTTCGACTTGGATGCGATCGAAAGCCTTTGTCAGGTCTATAAAACATAGAAATGATGGCCTTTTCTGTGATTTGTCTTAGTACAAATACGGCGTCTACGCAGGATCATCCGGATCTGAATCCTTGTTGTTCATCTGATAAAGTTGTTAGTTTATTGATTTTGTTGATTAGGACTTTT